TATATATATATATATATATATATATATATATATATATATATATATATATATATATATATATATATATAAGCAAGTTTTACATTACACAACTTTTGTACTTTGTGTAGTATGTAAATATTCAGTTTTTATATTATTTAAGAGTTTTCGTATGTAATTTATATTACAATACTCATTCAACATGATTTTTTCCTTACAAAAAATATCTATCTACATAAGAAAGCAAATAGGATTATATGTTACCTCCTATACATGTTCATTGAATAAATCAAGAATTACTAGCATTATTATTTTATTAACTTAAAAAAATGAAAGATAATTATATCTCATCCTATGATTTCATAACGCCACTAATTTTTTGGCCATGATAAATAAAAAAAAGATAAAAAAAAAACACTACTTTGACAAAAGTATTTTAAAGATAACTGTATATGCTATTTACGGACAATAACTAAATTTTTAGCTGTAAAGAAGAAAAATAAAATAAGAATAACTACATTTTTTTTTCTTACATTTATCAAAACCGTCAAAAAAAAAAAAAAAAAAAAAAAAAAAAAAAAAAAAAACATAGCACCTAACTTTATTTATTTCTTTTTTTTTTTGGATAAAATAAAAACATATCACAAGATTTAACATTTTTATACTACATACGTTAAAACTTTTCTACAACATAACTTGGAACAATTTATTAATTACAAGAAAATCTTTTAGCCATGGATATTTTATAAATTAATAAAATATAAAATATATTTTAAAATTTATCACATAAACTACCCACATTCAATATACAATTACCAACAATCCCTAATTATTTGCCAATATTGTGTATGCACTACCTTACAGTTAACCACTTTATTTATTTATTATTTTTTAAAAACAAAACTACCCACTTCTTTTTTCGTTTTTTTTAATATACAATTCTCTCAATATTTTTTTTTTTACATATCCAGTTCTCTCCAAACATATTTATCTTCAATTCTTACTATTTGTAATTGTTCATTTATTATACTAACATATTTGATCTTTATAAAAAAAATTATTATAAACCATTAACGCCATTTGCCATGCCTTCAATCAAGTTATCATTTGTTCCTTCTACGTTCAAGTTGTCTTCTAATTTTTTTTTTTAATAAAACAAAAGTAGTCAGCTATATTATTTTATTTTCGTATAATCGATTATCATAATATTGTTTGAATTTGCAGGGATTGTTGATCGTTTGACTATGGTGCACATCAATAATTCTCCTCTCTTCGAACTCAAGTAGGATTGCAAATTCACGAACGTTTATTTTTGTGCACAAGTGACATTATCCTTACAAAGGTAAACCATTTACTGCAATTCTAGATTAATTTACTAATTGAACAATAAACTACGATGGGTTCCCAATTCACCTATAAAAGTATAAAAATGTAAATTATAAATTATTGCTACACCTTCATGTTTCTAAACGACAAATTGGCAGCATTGTACTCACCTTCTACGGTTGTTTCTTATGGTTTAGCTTTAAGGTTTTCATATAATGTAAATTTATGAGAAAAATCCTGACAATTTCATATGAAATCAATTGCATGATGAACATCTGTACAAAGCAATTTCCACCACTCCTTCATACCTTCACACTTAGAAAAAATAAGGAAGAATATAAGATAACTTTTGATGTTCCAATTCTTTGTTTTATAATTCTGTAATAATTATGATCTAGGGGTAGGATGATTAGGTGTATGATAAATTAGCCATGAAATTTGCTTAAATTAATAAAGTCACTATGTGTATTATTAAAAAGTAAAGTATTACTTTATTATGAAATAGGGAGTAACAGTTTAATCATGTCACCATGTAGAATTTTTTAAAGTTGGGGGCTTTCATGTAGAATTTCTCTTATTTCTTTTATAAATAACTATGCATATATGATATATACAAAATCTAATTTCCCCTGTATTTGACTTTAAAAAAAATGATATATACAAAAGTTTATAAGAAAAGTAAAAAAAGAATAAGGTACTGTAGAAGATAGAGTACCAACTTCATTGGACCAAATAAATGGAGTAGCAACATGAAAGATAACTATGCATGAAATACTTCGTACACACAAATTAAACATTTTAGATTTCTATATCATGCACCTTTTCTATAGCATTCCGTTATTATAATTAATTTACATCATTGATTTTTTCTTATATATTTTTATGTTACTAGGTATGGAAAATCAGATGTCATCTACGTCATACTATCGAAATTTGACACAGAGAAAGATGACACTTGAACAACTAGAACAAGAAGCTATTGCCCGAAATACTCGAAGGCAGACTACTTATAATTTAAGGAGGAATGCTCGACAACAAGCCGGTTTTTTCTACTTATAATTTAAGGAGAAATGCTCAACAACAAGCCGGTTCTTCTAGTCTATCAGATATTACTAATCAAGACATCACAACTGGCACATACACTACTTCAAATCGTGCTTCAAGATGCACACATGAGTTGAGTAATATTATGCTTATAGCCTTCTTGGCATTGTAATTAAATACAGTTATTGTCCTTTTATATGACATCAATATGTGTTATAGTAATCCATTTGTATAACATCGAAAAATATATATTTTTACAATTTTGTGTATAAATTGGTTAACTTATGTCTAACAAAATTAGTTTTTCTACTACTTTATAGAAAGCAAACAATGTCAAAGAAAACTTTATAATGTGCGTACTAAAAAAAATCGCCTTACTAATAATGATTATATTAAATAAATTATTAGCTATATCACATAATAATTTTTAAAAAAAAATTGGCCCACTTACCCTTAAATGGTTTGAGAATTATAGTTGCGGCAATCTACACATGTTCTTTCATTCCAAAATAATTCTCTTTATGATTTGCAAATAGAGCATGCATCATATCATGTGAAACCTTTGGCATTACATTAATATCAACCATTAACCAATAGTAAATTAATATTTTTGTAAATAGTAAAGATATATGGATAGTTAATGAAGTATAACAATATAAAAAAAAAAAAAAAAATTGTCTACACTAATTCAATATATAGTTATAACATAAAATACGAAGTGAAATATAACAAAATACACTGTAACATTTAATGAGCTATGTTGCTCTTGATTATGCAGCACATTTTGGTTCTTAAGCATCAAAATTGTCTAAGATCCATATTTGTATTTTGCAAGATGAACAAAAATACATTAACTTAGTAAGAAGCTTGATAAAGTTAAATATAAAAATTATGTGACATGTTGTTTTTCTCATCAAACATACTAAATAAAATTAATTCATAATCCAGCAATTCAAAATGGTCAAAGTGTCATATCGCACAATTCTACATGTTTTGGTCAACGAAGTAACCGAGGTAGAAGTACAAGTTTTGGCAACAGTGGCATTCAAGAGGCCTTAGGTCCTAATTTCATGCATAGCAACAATGTTCAAGGAAATAGAGAAAGAGTATGTCATCGTTGTGAAATAAACTTTCATGAGCAAAGAGGAGTCCCGACCGTTCAATTGTCACCTCCGAGAACATGTACATTTTGCCAAGCTCGCCTTTTTCATAATGAAACATCCCAAATATGTTGTTTGTCTGGGAGGATTACCTTGCCAACCTTACCTGTTCCCAAAGATCTACGTTCTTTATATAATGATCAAACACCTATTGGATTGCATTTTAAGCGTGATATCAGAAAAATTAATCACTTATTTGCTTTAAGATCCATGGGAGTGCACTTAGATGAGAGCTTAGCTAATGCTCAACACGGAGTATATACTTTTCGAGCTCAAGGTTCTATATATCATAAGATAGGCGGGCTACTCCCATCTACATCGGAATCTTGGCCACGATTCCTTCAGTTGTACATATATGACACTGAGCACGAGGTTGAGAATCGTCTTGTAGAGAATAGCACATTACGACAAGATATTGTAGAACGAGTTAAAGCCATTCTTGATCAATGTAATCCTTTTGTTCATAATCTTTGAAGTTTGGCTCAACAAGAAAACGTACAAGATTGTGCCCTCCGTAATAACGAACAACCATCAGATCGACCGCAATATTGTCTCTCTACTGCTTCTCAAGTTGCGATTGTGATTGTCGGTGGAGAAGAAGTTGTGAACTTAATTAATGACTGTGTTGGATATTGTTGGATACTATGATCCTCTTTAGTATCCATTACTCTTTCCATATGGTTCTTATGGATGGTCAATAAATAGTCTCGATAATAACGGAAGAATCGTACCTTGCTGAGCATTCTATGCCTATATCATTCAAGTAAAGTACACTCCCCTCACATATTAATACATGGATATATATATATATATATATATATATATATATATATATATATATATATATATATATATATATATCTTTTCTCATATTTTAATTTTATTGATTGTAGGTACGACAATGTGTCATAACCATCATCTTAACGGCAGGGCGCTTATTTCAACAATTCATTGTTGACATGTTTGTGAAAATTGAGGCAAATAAGCTAAGGTGGATTCGAGATAATCAAGATATAATTATAGCTGAATTGTATCAAGGACTTCAAGATTGTTTAGATGTCGGAGAAATCAATCCAGGTTCTTTTCTTAAATATGTTGTTTGCCTTTAATTTTAATTTTACTATTATTATTATGTACTATAATATAATTAACGGTACATTGTAATTATAGTGAATGCCGGAAAATCAACCATTCTACCTTCTTCGTTTGTTAGGCGTCCAAGAGACATGAATCAAAGATTTCAAGATGCAATGGCATTAGTTACACATTATGAAAACCAGACCTCTTTTTGACAATGGCATGCAACCCATCGTGGAGAGAAATTGTAGACGAGTTATTGCCAAGTCAAACAGCACAAGATCATCCCGACTTGATCACCAGAATATTCCATGCAAAATTTGAGGAATTCAAGATGGACGTTGTAGAAAAAGGCACTCTTGGGAAGGTTATTGCCTATGTCTATGTCATTGGGTTTCAAGCTTGCCACATGTTCACATGCTACTCATTTTGGACGATAAAGATAAACCAAAATCTCCAGAAGAGTATGACACATTTGTGAGAGCCGAGATACCTGATAGAGATGAAGAATCACGGTTATACGATGTTGTTTTCAAGCATATGATCCATAATCCGTGTGGTGAAGGTCGTCAAAATTCTTCTTGCATGGAAAATGGGGTTTGTAAACGTAAATTTGCTAAACCCTTTGCAGAAAACACAGTCCAAGGCAAGAACTCATATCCTATTTATCGTCGTCGTGGTGATCGTCCGCCAGTGCCTTTACATGAGAATAGTGCAACCTTCATTGATAATGGTTGGGTTATTCCATATAATTCATAGTTGCTAATAAAATATGATTGTCATATCAACGTAGAGATCTATAGTAGCATCAAGAGTGTCAAATATTTGTACAAGTATGTGCATAAGGGTGTAGATCGTGTTTCAATGGAAGTTCGAGCAGGGGCTGAATACAATGAGATTCAAAAATATGTGGATGCTAGGTGGGTATGTGCACCTGAAGCCTTATGGAGGATATATCAGTTCCCCATTACTCGAATGTGTCCATCTGTTGATCGATTACAACTACATTTGCAAGATAGGCAAATGGTTAGATTAAGTACAAATCAATCTATTGAAGACATCCTTCAAATGCCACAAAACTCTCGAACTATGCTCACAGAGTTCTTCAAGATGAATTCCTTAGATCCAGAGGCAAAAACATACCTATATAGAGAATTTCCTCAACGTTATCGATGGCTGACGGCTACAAAAACATGGAGAAAAAGGATGAGTACACAAAGAGTGATAAATAGAATCTATACAGCCTCACCAATGGAAGGAGAAAGACTTTTTCTTACGTTTGTTGTTGGATCATGTTAAAGGCCCCGAATCATTTGAGCATCTACGAACTGTCAATGGAATTGTTTATTTTACTTTTAGAGAAGCAGCTAAAAAACTAGGTCTTATGGAGAATGATGCAAGCATTCGTGATTGTTTGCATGAAGCATCAAACTCTAAAATGTCAAAATCATTAAGTAGATTGTTTATCATGTTGTTCGTTTATTGTCTACCAACTAGGGTACGATCTCTATGGGATGAATTTTATCATTACATGGGTGAAGACTACTTATATTCAACTTCAACAAATCCATATCTGGTACGTGATTCAGTTCTCTATGACATCGATTGCATGTTAAAACAATTAGGAAAGAGTGTCAATGACTTCGACTTACCTAAAATAAACATGCGGTTGGATGGAAAAGTACAAGTAGCTAGAGCCATACATGATGAATTATCAGCACCAGTGCCCCCTGAAGATGTGCATTGTGCTGAGCATCTTAATAACAACCAACAGTCTTCATTTGATATTATTATGGAAGCTATTGCTGTAAAGAATGGTCGAATTTTCTTTATAGATGGTCTAGGTGGGACAGGTAAGACATATCTATATCAAGCCATACTTGCAACAGTCAAGCTTAGAGGGAAACATGGATTACCAGTAGCCAGCTCAGGTATTTCTGCCACACTATTGCATCGAGGAAAAACCGCTCATAAAACTCTTGGTATTTCGGTTACGTTGCATGCTTCGTCAACTTGGAAGTTTATAGAACAAGATGTAGAGGCGCAATTGGTCAAGTATGCAGCTGTCATAATATGGGATGAAGCAACAATGACTCATCGACATGCGTATGAAGCAATTGATCATAGTTTAAGAGATCTAACAGGGGTTGATGTTCCATTTGGCGGCAAGGTCGTAGTGTTTAGTGGAGATTTTAGACAAATTTTACCCATTGTACCAAAAGGAACAAAGGCTCAAACTATAGATGCGTGTTTGGTCAGGTCAACACTATGGAGACATGTTCAGCTACTTCATCTCACTCAAAATATGAGATCAATACATGATCCAGAATTTGCAGCCTTTCTTTTAAGAGTTGGAGATGGATGTGAGCCTACAGTTAATGAAGACATGATAAAGTTACCATCTTCAATATGTGTAGGAAATGGTGATCAAATTTCAGTTGATAATCTAATCCATCAAATATTCCCAAACCTAACTAAGCACGTAGGTGATGTGTCATACATGGTGCAAAGAGTTATTATAACTCCAACAAATGACGAAGTTGACATGCTGAATGAGAAGATACTTAAAGAGTTTGTGGGAGAAGAAAAAACCTATTACTCATGTGACTCTGTTCCAGAAGATCGTCAAAATCTCTATCAACAGGAGTTCTTGAATTCATTATCCTTTGGTGGTTTGCCACCACATATTCTTAAGTTGAAAGTTGGCTCGCCAATCATGCTTTCGAAAAATATTAATACAAGTAGTGGATTGTGTAATGGAACAAGGTTAATATGTAGTCGGTTAAGGATCCATGTGATTGAAGCTGAAATTTTGACCGGAAGTCATAAAGGGACACAAGTGTTCATTCCACATATGCCTTTAAAAACAGCAGAAGATGTGAAGTTGCCATTTGAAATGATCCGAAAACTATTTCCTGTGAAATTGTGTTTTGCTTTGACCATAAGCAAATCGCAAGGGCAAACCATTCCTCATGTTGGTATATATCTCCCCCAACATGTTTTCAACCATGGACAGTTATATGTTGCACTATCAAGAGGGACCTCACAAGAAACAACTAGAGTTTTGGTTAGCAAAAGAGATACTCGAGGTAGATGTGGTGTATTTACAAAAAATGTAGTTTACAAAGAAGTCCTCCTGCCTCATTTGCCACAACCCTAATTATCAAGTATTATCATAAATATTAAACATGCATTCGTAACTTTTGATAGTCATAATTCATAAACATCTATATTATACATGCATACATAGCTTCTTAAGTCATAAACATCTATGAAGTGACTTCTTTATCTTCTTATCAGGGAGCAAGATAAGCATGATAAAAGTCAACAACTAAGCATCAAAAGTGCATGGAAGCAAAAACATCTCATGCTACTCTTGAGGATATTTGTTTTTATGTTTTTAATATTGTAATTTTATTATAGCATTATCTCCAAGTATATGTACAATCTGTATGCGTAAATAATTTCGACTCTTGATTTTCATAAAATATCATATATGTATTTCTTATTTTGTGCACGCATGACGTGCATATCTTAGTTTGTTTGATTTTAATCCAAACTAAATTTATCCACCTTTCCCATATTATCCCAAATTACTTATTTCTTACCATCTTCTATGACAATTCAAACTCTTTATTTTTAATTTTTTGATGATTTAGAATTCTTTTTAGAATTTTTAAATTAATTATTTTCACACTTACTCATTTCCTTCTTTCATTCTTTCTTTTTTGGGAGAAAGTCGAATACCCTCCACTTATGATAAGAATGACGAAATTTTTTTGCTTTTTAGTGCTTTCGAGTCTCACTCGCACAAAGCAACACTTATAGCACACACTCATACACACATAAAATAAATGTAAAAATGTACAAAGTCTAAAAAAGTACATAAGTGTCATAAGAGTCGACAAATATATACAAACATGAGCACAAGTCCTACAGTCCAAAAGTAAAGCAAGTGCAGGCACCCTAAGCCCATGGCGGATGAGGCTCCCAAGAAGTACCCATGAACTCTTCCATACCCGAGACCGAGGAGTCACCTCCTAACTAGAACTACCACCGCCTGTCGTGGGGATCACGATCGTAGGACCTGTCCACTGAGTGAACTGAGGACCACCCTGAATGTCATACGGAAAAAAGCTCCCACCAGCAAATGGAGGAGGAGGTACAAACGTCTGAGAAGACGAGCCAACCTCAAAAGTCCCGCCAGCCAACTCAGGTGGAGGCATGTAAGGCTGAGACAACGAGTCAGCTCCGAACGACTCGGGAATGATGTGCGGACGCACCACTAAAGGGCCAAAACTCGGCGGATACACGTCAAGTGAAGAAGACTCACGGTTCGAGCTCGCCTCACCTAGGGATGTCAGTAGGGCAGGTCAAGTAGGAGACCTACCCCATCCCCGCCCCATGGCGAAGATGGATCTCGGTTTGGCGGGTGGTGGGGCGAAGATGGGGATGAAAACCATACCCGCCATGGGTGATGGGGCGGGGGTGGATTTTAGTTGTACCCGCCCTATCCTCGCCCCGCCCCGCCCCACCCCACTCGCCCCACTTCATACCCGCCCCGCCCTAACCGCCCCACTTCGTACCCGCCCCATCCCCACCCCATACCCACATCTATTTAATTTTTAAAACAAAACTATATACTTTTTATACTATTTTATATAAAAAAAATTATGTAAAATAAAATTGTAAAAATAAAACTTTGTAATACACTTATATTATAAACAAAAAAATGTGTAATATTGACATTGCATTTTTACAAAAAAAAAAAAAAAAAAAAAAAAAAAAAAAAAAAAAAAAATTGTATCTATATTAATTATGTAGGATTGTGTATATGTGAAACGAGGATTAGGCGGGTCTTGGGTGGGGATTAGGTGGAGGTGGATATCCAAGTGGGGGTGGGGCGGGGATGGTTTTGGAATTGTACCCACCGAGGCGGGAATGGGAGTGAATTTTGGACCCACCGCGGGGATGGGGATGGGGATGAAAATTTTTAGGTGGGGATGGGGATAGGAAAGCCAACATCCGCCCCGGCCCACCCATTGACAACCCTAGCCTCACCACTGCCCCCTGCCTGGCCAGTGGTCTCCTGTCGATCCAGGACCTCTAATGAAATTCAACAGCGTCTCGCCTCCCTCAAGCCATCATGCCTCGAGCGAGTGCGTGGCCGAGCAGCCGGCTGAAACAAAAACAAAGAAATGCAAGTCAGTCAAGGGCAAATAAATGATGAGTGGCATTTATGCCACCATCTCAACCTCTTTCACTAGTGAATTCCCCCGATTTGTCACTTGTTTGCACCTTTTCTCACCGTTTTTACTCCTATGTTAGTTACTTTAGCTCCCTCTCGTGTTTTCCGTTTCCTTTTATCTTTTCTTCTACTTTTTACCTTCTATTTGTGTGTTTTGATAGCTCCTAGCACTCGTAGGAGAATTTTGGATTGCTAGATGGAGTAGAGTTGCTAAGGAGGCTCATCAAGGGAAGAGGAGATGCTGCAAACGAGAGGGCGCGCTGCTCCAGCTAGCCGGGGGTGCAGGCCTCAAATCCGCGGGCGCGGACAGGGGGTTACTAAGCTATGAAGCAAATTCTGGAGATGGCTGGAAGATGGCCAGCCGCAGGCGTGGCAGCGAAGACCCGCGGGCGCGGCGATCTGGGTCTGACGAACTTCTTACCCAGCTTGGAGAGGGCGCGGCAGCCTGTTCGGAGAGCCCTCTCCCTTGCCCATTTTTTTCATTATAATAGAAGACTATAAATAGTCTTGAGCTTGAATTTTTAATCATCAACTATTCCATTGGCATCAAAACATTTTGTAGAGAGAGAAAATGCATGTCTTTTAGAGAGAGAAAACACTTAGTCTTCAAGATTTAATCTTTGTAATCAAATATTTAAGCTTTCTTCTGATGGTTGCAACTACTTTGATGATTGGGTAATCTTTCAACATTAATAATAGTAATCTTTCCTCCTTATTCTCTAGTTTTAGTTTTATTAGTTCTATTGCTCTTATTTATGCTTTCTTCCATAAATTTCCATGCTTTATTGGTTTCATTGATTTCTATTTGACATAGAATCATGTTAGGTTGTATTAGGATTGAATACATGTTAGGTTTAGTTGTCATGGCTATTCCCCTTTCTCAAGCTTAGATTTTTAGCTAGGGAAGAGGGTGAAAATCATGTTTATTTGAGTTCCTATTGATTATTAATTGGATTTTACCTTGAGTTGATGATGTGTGCTTAAATATGCTTGGAGTTATTGTGTGCACCTATAACCCCAATGTTTTAGTCCTAGATTAGATGCATGAGAATGATCTAGTTTAGGGTTGATTGACTTCATCGACTTGCTTTAAGTAGTTGCGTGAGAATGAATTGCTTTGATTAGAGTTTGAACTCCTTGGTATATTTCCTTATTGATTTTCATTAGTGCCTTGTGGTCATGATTGGAACCCCCTCTCCCTAGTGCTTTTTGCCATTATTATCTCTATAATCTTGCTCTTCATCTTCATTTTAGAGTGTCTTGTTTAATCTTCTTAATGTTGGTTTAATTTAGTCCCTTTTGGTAGATAGTTTGATCATAGAACTCTTCAAAAACAAACCATAACACCCTTTTTTTGTCACTTGCAATATATCCTAGATTTCGCATTGATTGTGCAATACCCCCGTTTCCTTGGGATTCGACCCTAACTTGCCACTATCTAAATTGAAATTGATAGAGCTAGGTTAGGAGATAAAAATTGTATATTTGATCTAGGTAGTAGTAACGACCTATTATCCACCGATCAAATTTTTGGCGTCGCTGCCGGGGAAACGGCTTGTTTTGCACTTTTATTGCGTTATTACTAGATTTATTGCCTTTTTATTTTGTTCCCTTACCCTCTTGCTAGTCATTGCTAATTGTTTGCTTAGCTTTGGTGGATGCAAAGGAGATCTCAAGGACCTCCTACTCACTACATTGACCACTAAATCGACCGCACTTTGAGACAAGTCCGAAGACTTTATCAAGAAGAGGGGCGAGGTTTTGGTGCAATTTTTTATAGTGAGAGTGATTCTTGGTCTTCAAGTTCTCAAAGCGAGGAAATGGCGAGGCAAGAGAATGATATTTTGTTTCATGAGTTCGGTAATCCGGAGGATTATGAGCTCACCGGTGGGATCTTGCTACCCGTCACGGAAACCAACTTCACCATTCATCCTCAATACACTAGAATGGTTCAAACGAAGCAATTTTTGGGTTCTCCAAGTGAAGATCCTATTGAGCACCTTGATAGATTCCTCGAGCTTTGTGCCATGATAAAAACCAATCAAGTTTCTCAAGAATACATCCGCATGCATCTATTTCGACAATCTCTTGCGGGTAGAGCAAAGAAGTGGCTCAAGCAAGTCAAGCCTAATTCTCTCACAACATGGAAGGAGATAGTCAAGGCATTCTTAAAGAGATTCATTTCCGAAGAAAAGACCGCCGAGATGAGAAGGAAGATTGCATCGTTTGAACAAGAAGCGGATGAGAGTTGGTTTAAAGAGTTGGTTCAAGCATGTCCTCATCATGAATACAATCAAAGCTTGCTCATGAGGTTCTTCTACGATGGTTTGGAACCTATGTCTAGAGCTAACTTGGATGCGGGGGCGGGTGGACAATTGATTAAAGTCCCTCAAAATCAAGTTGAAGCAACAATTAAAGAGGTAGTGAAGAACTACTCTTGGGGTGGTAGAAGGAGGAATGCACCAAAGAAGGGTGGAAAGTATGAATTAGTGAAGGTTGATCAATTGCAACATCAAATCGAACTCTTGACAAAAGGGCTTGCAAAGTTAAACACGAATGTCATTAGTGGGGAAAGCTCCTCCCAAGTCAATTCCTTCTCTTGTCAAAATTGTGGTGGCACAAACCACGATACATCTTATTTTGGAGGTTTGAGCCCGGAGCATGTAGCGGCATACAACACAAGGCAAGATGGATATAGGGGAGGTGGCGGTGGAGTAGCTTGGAGACAACCACCACCCGGATTTGCAACCCAACCTCAACAATGGAATCAACAAGCTCAACAACCATACAACTCCAACCCCCAATACCAAAACCCACCTCCATTCCAAACCCAAAACCCAAGGGGAAACTACCCAAGAAACCACCAACACAATAATCAACACCAATACCACAATCAAAATCAAGCGACTCCAAGGAGTCAAGAGCAAGCATCTCAACCCGATTCTACTCAAACCCAAATTTTTCAACAACTTCAATCCATGAATCAACAAATGCAAGAGGTCAAGGCTCATAACAAGATGGTTGATTCACAACTAGCTCAATTGGCCGAGAGAGTTCCTTTCAACTCACCTTCTACTCTACCCGGACAATCACAAACCAACCCTTCCAACATTGTGAAACCCGACTCTTGCAAGGCAATCACATTGAGATCGGGGACATCCTATGAGGGTCCCAAGGAGGGGGATAGCAAGGAAAATAAGGAAGGAGAAGAGAGTGTGAGTGAAGATAAAGAAGTTGAAGAAGAGAAGGCTGATGAGAAAGAGAGAAGTATGGAGAAAAACAAGTCTAAGGATGTGGTGACATCCTCAACTTCTAGTGAGGCTAGAAATCTTGATGGACCGGTTCCCTTTCCCAGTCGACTTGCAGAGAGAAAATTGAATGACAAATTTGCAAAGTTCCTAAGTGTGATGAAGAACTTGCACATAAACCTCCCTTTCATTGAAATTGTCACACAAATGCCTTCATACTCTAAGTTCTTGAAAGACATTCTCACCAACAAGAGGAATCTTAATGATGAGCTTATCACTCTCCCCCATCAAGTGAGTGCACTTGTTCAACATAAGATGCCCAAGAAGCAAAAAGATCCGGGAAGTTTCACTTTGCCGGTAAAGATTGGGAACATGGAAGCTAGGGGCGCCTTAGCCGATCTTGGAGCGAGTGTTAGTTTGATCCCTCTATCAATTGCTCAAAAGCTTAATATTGAGATGATCCCCACAAGGAAAACCATTCAATTAGCTGACCGTTCGGTGAAGCTACCTTGTGGTGTGCTTGAAGATGTCCCTATTCAAGTTGGGCATATCTATGTGCCTTGTAATTTTGTAGTGATGGATATGGAGGAGGATGTGGATACTCCCTTGATTTTGGGCCGTGAAGCTCTTAAGACCTTGGGGGCGGTAATCAATTGCAAAAACAACACCATTACATGTGAGGTAGCCGATGAAAATATTGTTTTCGAATTCTCTAAGTTACTCAAGACCCCCATGGTTGAGAAGTGCTATAGAGTTGATGTTGTGAATGAAGAATTAGATCGCTTGGGAAGGGTTGTGATGATCCCTCAAGATCCAATGGTTGAAGCTCTTACATGCAAAGAAGAGTATCACTCTCAAGAAGCAAAAGAGTTTGTCATGGCCATTGAAGAAGCCAAAAAGGAGGAAGAGGACGATCCTAGGGATGATGACCTCGAACTAGCGGAGGAAAAATTGGAAGAGAGTTCCAAGCCTCCTCCCAAGGTAGAACTCAAACCCCTTCCCCCATCTTTGAAATAAGCTTATCTTGGAAATGAAGGGGAATACCCTATTATTATCAATGCTACCCTAGATGGGCTTGATTTGGAAAAAATTTCTTGATGTGTTGAGAAAATATAGAGATGTGATAGGGTATAGCATTGATGATATCAAGGGTATTAGCCCTTCTTTGTGCATGCATCGTATTCACCTTGAGGATGATCAATCCACCTCAATTGAGCCTCAAAGGAGGTTGAACCCCAACCTCCAAGAGGTTGTCAAGAAAGAAATTTTGAAATTGCGTGAAGCGGGCGTAATCTATGCTATCTCCGATAACAAGTGGGTTATCCCGGTTCACGTGGTTCCAAAGAAAGGTGGAATGACCATTGTCAAGGGAGAAGGAGGAGAGGAAATCTCCACCCGGACGGTGACCGGGTCGAGGATGTGCATTGATTATAGGAGGTTGAACAAAAATACAAAGAAAGACCATTTTCCTCTCCCCTTCATGGACCAAATGTTGGGGAGACTCTCCCATCATGCTTTCTTTTGCTTCTTGGATGGATATTCCGGATTTTTCCAAATCCATATCCATCCAAGTGATCAAGAGAAAACTACTTTTACATGTCCATATGGGACATTTGCATACCAAAGAATTCTATTCGGGTTATATCCATCCAAGTGATCAAGAGAAAACTACTTTTACATGTCCATATGGGACATTTGCATACCGAAGAATGCCATTCGGGTTATGCAATGCTCCCTCAACTTTCCAACGATGCATGACTTCCAGTTTTTCCGAAATGCTTGAAAATGAAATTGAAGTTTTCATGGATGATTTTAGTGTTGGTGGCTCATCTTTTGACACATGTCTTTACAATCTTGAAAAAGTTTTGAAAAGGTGTCAAGAGACGAGTTTGGTGTTAAATTGGGAGAAATGCCATTTTATGGTCAAGGAAGGTATTGTTCAAGGCCATAAAGTAACAAAAAAGGGCATTAAAGTTGATTCAGCCAAAGTTTCGGTGATTGCTAAGTTGCCCCCTCCTACTTCCGTTACAGGAGTGAGAGCTTTTCTAGGGCATGCCGGTTTTTACCGGAGATTTATCAAAAAATTTCATCAATCGCCAAACCTTTGACCGAATTACTCAAAAAGGATGTTGTGTTTAGCTTCGATGAGGCTTGCCTTGAGGCATTTCAAAAGCTCAAGGAAGCTCTCATTTCCTCCCCCGTTGTGGAAGCTCCGAATTGGAGCTTGCCTTTTGAGCTAATGTGCGATGCGAGTGATTTTGCAGTAGGTGCGGTACTTGGGCAAAAGAAGGAAGGAAGATCTCATGTCATTTACTATGCAAGTAGAACGCTTGATGAGGCTCAAAAGAACTATACAACAACGGAGAAGGAAATGCTTGCGGTTGTGTTTGCCATGGACAAGTTTAGATCCTATCTTATATGTTCCAAGGTGATTGTGTACACGGATCACATAGCGGTCCGCTACCTTATGACCAAGAAGGATGCAAAACCGCGTCTCATCCGTTGGGTTCTTTCGCTCCAAGATTTTGACATGGAAATGAGGGATAAAAAGGGAGCGGAGAACTATGTAGCGGATCATTTGTCTAGGCTTCCTTTTAAGACTAAGGAGGATGTGCCAATTAATGAGGAGGTGGGATTTGAAACCCTCATGGCTATGGCTTTAACGTCTAGCCCTTGGTACGCGGACATAGCCAACTATCTCGCTTGTGGAGTCGTTCCTCCGGAGTTCTCCTCTCAACAAAAGAAGAGATTTTTCAAGGAAGTGAGGAGGTATTTTTAGAATAACCCTTACTTGTTCAAGAAATGTGGAGATGGCCTTTTCCGGAAATGTGTTCCGGACCATGAGATCGAAGGAGTTCTTGAGCATTGCCACTCATTGTCGTGTGGAGGACATGGAGGTGTAGAAAAGACGGTGGCGAAGATCTCTCAATCTCTTCTATGGTGGCCAACAATGCACAAGGATGCCCACAAGTTCGTTTCAAGGTGTGACAAATGCCAAAGAAGTGGTGGCATAACCAAAAGGGATGAGATGCCTCAACAAAACATTTTGGAGGTGGAGCCATTCGATGTTTGGAGGGTCGACTTCATGGGGCCTTTTGTTTCTTCTTTTAAAAATCTATATATCTTGGTGGCGATGGACTATGTGACCAAATGGATTGAAGCTATACCCTCCCCCACCAACGACCACAAGGTTGTGCTCAAGCTTCTTAAGAAGGTCATATTCCCGTGATTTGGGGTTCCTAGGGTGCTAATCAGTGATGGAAGTTCTCATTTTTCCAAGAAACAATTCGAAGCTCTCCTCAAGAGACATGGGGTTCATCACAAGTTTAGTCTCCCTTACCACCCTCAAACTCAAGGGCAAGTGGAGGTATCCAATAGAGAGATCAAAAACCTTCTTGAGAGGATGGTGAACAAGTCTAGAAAAGATTGGTCTCTCAAGCTTGATGACACACTTTGGGCCTTAAGGACGGCATACAAGACCCCCATTGGCAAAACCCCCTACCGGTTGGTCTATGGGAAGGCTTGTCATTTGCCGGTTGAATTAGAATATAAGGCTTGGTGGGCGATCAAGGAGCTTAACATGGACATGTCCTTGGCAGGTGAGAAGAGATTGCTTAAGCTCAATGAACTTGAGGGGCCCCGATATGACGCCTACGAGAACTCGAGGCTCTACAAGGAGAGGACTAAGAGATGGCACGACCGACATGTAAGGAACAAGAGCTTCAAGGTTGGGGACAAGGTGTTATTATTCAACTCTAGGCTTAGATTGTTTCCCGGAAAGCTAAAGTCCAAGTGGTCGGGGCCTTTCACGATTTCGAGGACTACTCCCTAGGGGTCCTTTGAGTTGGAGGCGGAAGGGAACAAGTTCATGGTCAACGGCCATCGTTTGAAGCTCTACCATTGCAATGATCAAGTTAGCATAATTGAGTGCATGAGGCTCGATCTATCGGATCCTAAGCCACCTTTTTTATGATGATGTATTATGGTCAAGCTAATAACCTCTTAAAAAAGCGCTTCTCGAGAGGTAACCCGAGTTCTCAAACTCTTTTGGTTTTGTATTTCTTTTGTTTAGCCAATCTTGGATGATTTCCCTTTAGTTCTAATTGTGTATGCTTTGTTCTTCTTGTAGGTACTCAAATCTTTGGATTTTTGTCTACAAATTTGAGGTTGGAAGTTTTGAGGAGAAAGGATGAAAACAAAATAGAGATGCCCTGGAGAGGGCGCTCCATGAAGGCCCGCGGGCGCGGCCCTAAGACCCGCGGGCGCGGACAGGGTCATCTCAGAAATTGCTAACAAACAGGAGATGTCTGGGAGAGGGCGCGGACTATCAAGCCGCGTGCGCGAACAGTCGAAGTCGCGGGCGCGGCAGGCACCGTTTCAGAACCTCCCACAAACAGGAGATGCCTCGGAGATGCCCACCCGCGGGCACGACATCAAAACCCGCGGGCGCGGCTTATTCACCCGCGGGCGCGGTTATCGGGGCCTGCGAATTTTAATTGGTTTTCCTCATCAAAAAAACCGAAACTCATAACCCCCAAATCAGAATTTTCGACCCTTTCTCTCTCTAAACCTCTTTCCTCTTCAAACCCTAACTCCTTCTACCACAAATCCTCATCAAAAATAATCAAAATCCATCAAATTCCCTCACTTTCCTTCAAATTTTCCTCACCAAAATCTGAAATTTCACCATTCAAGCCCCCAAATTTCGGTGTTCTTCCTTGAACAGACCTTGTTTCCACCATTGAAGGGTTTTTAAAGGTGTGCTCGAATTTCTTCTTCAAAGGGCTACTTGGAGAAGTCTTTGGTACTCATTGTTGGTATATATCTCTTTCTTACTCTAGCTTTACTTTGAATTTGAAGTAGTTTCTTTGGTTAAGATAATTTGGTATCTTGTGATTTTCATGTGGGGATTTTTGATGGTTGCATGCCTATTTTGTGTTAATTCATCCTATTAAGCATTTTTAATTGTTGAGTTGTTGTTGTCTTTGTTAGTTGATTGTTGAACTAGATTGCTTGGTTGTGGTTGTGCTTGGTGATTGTTGGAAGTGTGCTTGTTGTGTTGGATATTTGAAGTTGGAGAACTATTGTGGTGTGATTGTTGTGGTGATTTGTTGAGGTGTTTGATTGCAATTTGGTGTTGGTGAAAATGGTCTTTGGTACAAAGAAAAGAAAAAGTGGGAAAGAACCCCAAAATTCTATTTCCTCAAACCCCCAACAAAATGAACAACCCACTCCACCACCCCTACCACCCATCAAATTCCACAATAAAAACAACAAACCCATATTTGACAACCTCCAAAGAAGAAAATTGAGACCCACAAAACACTACCACCAACCCTCCACCACATAGCTCAACATTAACGAGGATTGTTGGTTCTTATTCAACAACCTTAGGCTAGGCTCCTTTGTAACAAGTGCCTACCGAACCTACAAGGAGCTGACTCTTGAGTTTCTAGCCTCCTTTGAATGTCATGCCGCGGGGGATAAGGACCTCACCATCTCCTTCCAACACTTTAACAAAAAAGAAACCCTCACCCTCCGCCAATTTAACCAATTGTTGGACCTAAACCCGGACACCGATATGTTCTTCCCCGAGCATGAGGGCCTTCATGCTTATGAACCCCTTCATTGGTGGAAGGTCATCTCAAGGATGGATGCCTTCAATTCCAAGTACTCCTTGGCCAGTCAGATCATGCACCCCGCCATCAGACTCCTACATCGATTGCTGAGGTACATGGTTTTTAATAAGCAGGACTTGGGAAAGATTACAACTGAGGAAATCCGAATATTATGGCTAGCTACGCAGCCGGAGTTGGGGCATAAAATGAACTTTGGGTTTCTATTTACTAAGTGCATTAAAGGTGTCCTCTCGGGTACAAAGAAAGGGGAGATTCATTTTGGTGGGATGATCACTCGGATAGCCGAGAAATTAGGCCATATGGATAAGTTGGGTTCTTGCACCCCCGTGGGGAAGAATGATGGGAGTGATATTTGGCTCGATCTTGGTCAATTAAAGACGATGAAATTCATCGCGAATACGGAGGATCGAGGAAGGACTTGGAGTTTGCTAGTCTCCCACGAGCACTATTGCTTCCTCCCCAAGCCGAAGTTCACTTCTTTCATGAGGGAGGGGGTTAATTACCCTTGGTGGGTAAAGAAGGATTCAGGTGTCCTCCCAAGTGCAAGGATGGAGATGGGTGAAGGATCTAGCGAAGGTCTTGGTCATGAGGAGGATGAGAACGAGGAGAGGGTCGTCCCTCTAAGTTAATAACAACAACAGCAATTTCAACAAGGGCAAGGAAGACATCGACAACAACAACAATAACAAAATCAACAACAATTTGACTACCAACAAGAAATGGCAGCGATGCGGGCTCAAATGGAAAGCATGCAACTCGACATGCAAGGTATATTCGCCTCCCAACAACACCATTCTTTCCAAACTAACGCTTTATATGATGCTAGTGTACGTAGAGGGGATATCACTCCCCCAGTTAATTACCCTTATGTGCCGGCTCAACAAGGGCCCGTGCCATCTTGGGGGGGTGATAACCAACCTACGTACCCCTATTGGCAGGGTCCTTCGGACCCTAATATGCGAAGACTTGATTTCCCCGACGAGTCCGGTCATTATGAATACCGGGTTTCGGGTGGGAGTGATTATCGGGATGACCCTAACTACCCCTATGTTGATCCCTCTCACCCATCACCTCTAATTCAACCCGAGCCATATGACCAGTTGTCCGCACCCTAACTAGACCTTTTCAAGGGTCATTATAGGTGGCCCCCCGGCTACACCAAAGGTTGGGACCCCCATGGCCCCCCCTCGGGTTTCTCCTACGATAGTTGGAGTGCGGATGACGGTGGTGCCGGCCCTAGTAGCCACTAGTTTCCCTCTCGGTCTGTTTGTTCCCTCCCTTTGTTGTCCCTCCCTTTTATTCCATGTGCATGTGAAGCATCGGGGACGATGCTTTAATCTAGTGTGGGGGGGTGTTTGAGTCAAAAGGGAGTGTTAGGGTATGCTTTGGATAAGTGTGGGGGAAGGCACCTAAGACTCAGGGGAATGTCTAGGGGTTTGGGTTTAGGTGTTGTTGGTAAGCTTTTGGTAGCATTGTTGTTGTTAGTTGTTGACGATGTCTATCTTTATGATGATGATGATTTGATAATGATAATGATGTGTTGGGTAGTAGGTTATACCCAAATATTTGAGTTCATAGATTTTTCTCTTTCTCTTACTAACATTTTTCTCTCTCTAGTGTTTGTTTTCTTTTCTTTTCTCTCACCTGTAGCTTAGAAGAAATTTCGAAGCAACATATGGAGAAATGGTAAATTGCAAGGTTGCTATATTCTTTTCTTCAAGAGACATGGGTGAGATCTCTCCTTTACTTTCTCTTTTCTTTCTTGTGTTGTATTTAGTTTAGGATTTAGTTTAGGAAGGAGTTGAATGGTTCGAGGATGTTTGCATGCGCTTCCAAGGAACCTGGGATCGTTGGTATTGATACCGAACGATCACTTGTATGTCGATTGGGATTTATCTGAATTTATATGCCTCATGTTTGAACCTCCTTGATTTCTTCCTTCTTTTGTTCCGTTTTCATTTTCTTCTGTGTGACAAACATGATTATGGCATGATGATATGGTTGTGTTTTGGAATTTGCTTGTTACATTTGGACTCTATCTCCGTGATGATGCACCCTAGAATGCTTGTCTTTTCTTAACTTTATGATGAGATGCACGTTTTGAGATTGCCTTTGGTTGAATTAGACAAACTTTAGCTAAGGTAGCAAGGGTAAGAACTTATGAGGGCGTTTGAACCCTTAGTTCATGGGATGTGGTAAGATGGAGTTGCTCCCTGTAGTGGATTTGAAGCCCTCTAGTTGGCATTTTGTTCAAGCCTTCATCAATTTGTTGTGCGGCATTTTAGGATCCTCAACTATGCGTGTCTTAATCCTTGTGTTGATTACTAGCTCCCGAGATCGTGACCTAGCACTTTTAGGGGAGGAAAAGGGCACCATTTCTCATTTTTGTTTATTTTCTCTTTTATTTAGTTACAAATTTGATTTTCTATTTTGCATCAACCTTCTTGCCAACCACTTTGAGCCTAATGTTTCCCATTCTTGTCTCAACCGCATTACAAGCCTAATGACCTATGTTTTACCAACCCTTTTAGTTAGTGAAGCATTTGGCATGTGAGGGTAATGTAATGAGCGTTGTGATTATTAGCGTGAATTAAATGGAGAGTTGGTTTGGAACAAAGATTTGAAATGTAAGCTTGAATATGAGCATGCGAGAAAAGCTTAAGAAGAGTGATGCAACAAAAAAAAAAAAAAAATTGTATATATTTGAATAAGGTTGGTAATGTGTTGAAATCGAAATGACGGATGTTCGTTTGAGTTGTGGTTGTTTCTTGAGTTTTGTCTATGAGAGTTGGCCATTCTCTTGCTTCACTTAGGACTTGCCACCACTTTTTCAAATGTTCTCCCTACCTCTACCTTGAGCCGTGTCATTACAACCCTAATAAAGACCCTTAGACTTTAGGAGTGCGTGGTCAATAACCGGTGGAGGGAGATGGTATTCAACCCTATGGAGAGAGCGTGCATAGTTGAGATATCGGATTGATCTTTTACCTCCTCAAAATGAATCTTTTCCCGATTCCTTCGTAGAATCATAAGGAGCCATCTAGGGGGATGATTTGAAACTAGTGGGGAGAACGCGGACCGTTTAGAGGGGACTAGGGCGGAGAATGACTCACTAGTTCTCTATGCTTAGCTTAGGCTTGACTCTTGCAACCATTAGCATCTTGAGGCGTGCATGCATCATGTAATTGAGAAGGGCTAGTATTCTTTGACGTTGTTTATCATAGTTGAGTCCGAATAAAGCATTTGTCCACCCTGGAATTTGATATTGTTTTTTTAATAAGCCATGCCATATTATGTTTGTCTTAGTAGTGTTTGTTTTGTCTTTCTTTTCTTGGTTTTTCTTAAGGACAAGCAAGAGGCAAGTGTGGGGGATTTTCATGAGTGGCATTTATGCCACCATCTCAACCTCTATCATTAGTAAATTCCCCCGATTTGTCACTTGTTTGCACCTTTTCTTACCGTTTTTACTCCTATTTTAGTTACTTTAGCTCCCTCTCATGTTTTCCGTTTCCTTTTATCTTTTCTTTTACTTTTTACCTTTTATTTGTGTGTTTTGATAGCTCCTAGCACTCGTGGGCGAATTTTGGATTGCTAGACGGAGTGGAGTTGCTAAGGAGGCTCGTCAAGGGAAGAGGAGATGCTGCAAACGAGAGGGTGCGCTGCTCCAGCTAGCCGCGGGCGCGGACAGGGGGATACTGAGCTATGAAGCAGATTCTGGAGATGGCCAGCCGCGGGCGCGGCAGCAAAGACCCACGGGCGCGATAATCAGGGTCGCGGGCGCGGCGATCTGAGTTTGACGAACTTCTTACCCAGCTTGGAGAGGGCGCGGCAGCCTGTTCGGAGAGCCCTCTCCCTTGCCCATTTTTTTCATTATAAAAGAAGACTATAAATAGTCTTGAGCTTGAATTTTTAATCATCAACTATTCCATTGGCATCAAAACATTTTGTAGAGAGAGAAAATGCATGTCTTTTAGAGAGAGAAAACACTTAGTCTTCAAGATTTAATCTTTGTAATCAAATATTTAAGCTTTCTTCTGATGGTTGCAACTACTTTGATGATTGGGTAATCTTTCAACATTAATAATAGTAATCTTTCCTCCTTATTCTCTAGTTTTAGTTTTATTAGTTCTATTGCTCTTATTTATGCTTTCTTCCATAAATTTCCATGCTTTATTGGTTTCATTGATTTCTATTTGACATAGAATCATGTTAGGTTGTATTAGGATTGAATACATGTTAGGTTTAGTTGTCATGGCTATTCCCCTTTCTCAAGCTTAGATTTTTAGCTAGGGAAGAGGGTGAAAATCATGTTTATTTGAGTTCCTATTGATTATTAATTGGATTTTACCTTGAGTTGATGATGTGTGCTTAAATATGCTTGGAGTTATTGTGTGCACCTATAACCCCAATGTTTTAGTCCTAGATTAGATGCATGAGAATGATCTAGTTTAGGGTTGATTGACTTCATCGACTTGC